TACAGAAAACCACATTGTCAACATTCATGTCCTTAGGGAATAGCGTGAGAAAGTAAGTAAATGCCTTTTATGTGTAATATATTATTTTCAGCATTATGGTAATTTGAATTCTATATCTGGTATTGTGATATTGTCCATGTGTATGTAGAAATTGTGTAAATTTTAAGATTGATTTTTATTTTCCTTTGGACGTGCTTTCCCACACCTGTTACTTGTTAACGGTTATTGCTCGTCCAGTATAAAAATGTGAAAATGCGCTCCTAGTCCGTTTAGCACTTGTGGGAATCAGAAAGGTTGAAAGAACTGGGGTCTCATTTATAAAACTGTGCATAGAAACCTCACTAAAAGTGTACATGCACCCAAAAACCAAAAATGGCGTACGCCAAAAAATACTCAGAAACCGTGCTTACACTTGTAAGCAAGTTCCCTTTATAAATCACAATCAACTTGAAATGTGGCGCATGTGAGGGAGCTCCATGTCCGACCCTTCAAACGCCCATAGTTGCCTATAAATGGTTAGTGAAACGCCCCTCATTAATATTAATACGTAGCTACTGACTGCATGAAGAAAAGGAGGCAAATTCTGACAGAGAAGCTACAAAACGAGATTTAATTCAGTGTGAGACTCATGTTCCTTTTGGTGAAGCTGAAGTTGTTTGGTGGATAAAAAACGCACTTTCATGCAACTCTTGTGCACCGGAGGAAAGGGGGCACCTTTATAATCGATCTGCAGGAAGGGGCATCCCTCTTGAGTAGTGACGTTACTGACCGGAGGGGGACACACACAGGCAAAACGGGATGACCCAGGTACCAATTTGGATCCCCCCAGTTTGAAAAGAGAGTAAACCAAATGCATTCCACCTGTGTTTAAACATGTATGTAGGCTACACAAACAGTCCACTCACTTAAGGAGGCTGGCGATGAGTTAAAAGAAATAGCCTGTGACTTGTTGGAAATTACAATAAAATAGTGTTATTTTTCCATAGGCTAATGTGTTTTTACAAGCAGCGCATCACATCCGCACGCTGGCGCACAATGTTTGGCTCGATTAGGAAACGAACATGTGATAACAATACATGAAACTATTCACTCGTATTTGCTCGACTGACACATTGAAAACGGAATCAATTTAAATATAATTTGTCCTCCTATTTACCTTATTTATGAGAATAATTTTCAATGCATGCAAGTAGGCCTATTAATTAATATGATTCCTGATTAAACTGTCCAACATATTTGAGATGTTCTTTTGCAGAAACCGATATCTCCGTTTGTGTTTATTATCCTCAGTCATGGTTCTTTTTGTGCGCCGCAAATTATCTTAAATTAGCATGTTTTTTTGTTGTGCACTTCAGGGAAAATCAATCACATAGTATATGATTATTTAGAAAGGCTTTAAGCCTATACTACTCAGTGGTAATATTTTGATATATTTTACACAGTGGTAGGCCCTCGTTTCAAACAGTTTCATCCTTCTGCCATGTGAGTCGCCGTTTCTCATTTGTCCTCTTTATGTGCATACGCATGGTTCAGAGTTTACTTATGGGACGCACATTTTCCTGTCAAGTTTGTTTTTTATAGATCACAACCTTTGCTTGGGAAGTGGCGTACGCATGTTTCCAGCCCCGTTTTGTACGTATGCACCGTTTATAAATGAGACCCCTGCATTTTAGGACTTCTGGGGCCAACTATCCTAGTATGTCTGGAAATTTGCAAGAACGTTGATTGCATCACACCACTCCAGAAAGTAGTACTGAATCATTAGTGTATGATTATAATGCACCATGTAGCATTACCTCTAATGAAAGAAATTGTAGCAGCTCTAAAGCCAAGTCAACTATCTCTTGCACTTTAGGTAAAAGAGATAAAGATGATTTTGACAAAAAAAACTACTGCTAAGCGGTGAAATGCAATACAGAATACATCTAATTTGCTTTCTCTCTAAATTAGTAAATCTACACCCACAATAACAAAATGTTACCATGGACCACTTAAGCAATTGATCTATGTGGGAGTTCAGGATGATTATAGTGGTTATCTTGTCAGAAAACAAATTAAACTTGAATACTCTCCAAGTCCTTAATTACTTTTTGATACTATAACTTAGTGATGTCCATCTTACAAAGTGATATCCACTATAATCCATGTTGGAAGTATTCCAGTCAATGTAAAGTATGATACTTCTCTCTAAGAAATGCCTTTGTTTCTGAGGTCACTTAGATGAGATTCAAGCACTACTCCTGTGGGTATAATAGTACTGTTTAACTTGTCATGTAATGACTGTTTTCAACCACACAGCGGCACTTGAACCTGCCCCTCGGCACATGAGTATGGAGTGGAGATACCTGCAGAGAATGACTTCACATTATGGATGTTTTAGTGAGAGTCTGTTGGGGACATGCACTCGTGTCTAATCATTTTATCTACAAAATAGCCAACTATGGATGTGAGTCATGTATTAACAGAGCGTGTGTGCCTGCCCCTCTCATGTATATTTGCCGGTCAGTCACACTTCAGTCACCCCATGAAGCGGTGGCCTAGATAACATGGCAGAGCAAATCATGGTTACACATTTCATCTGTATTGATTTTACTAGTCTTGTATTTCATATTACAGGGGAATGTAACCACATAATCATAGTAACATTAATACTCTTTTAAAATACAATTTATTATCAATTTATTAACACTGAAAACTGAATGCTTATATGAAAGCTGACATGTCGGCGAGGGGAGAATTGAAATTGATACCACAAACATATATAATTCTTCAGTGCAGATGAGCCCTAACAGTGTGTGGGATGTTTGAAGAGGATGAGAGAGAGCGAAAGGGAGCGAGAGAGATTGGAGTAGCATGCTGATGATTTAGTGCTGGTGCATCGACCAGACTGTATGAAGTGAAGATAATCTCACGGTGATAAGGCCAATCAATCACATGTTCTCTGCACTCACACATGGTTAGATTCTCCTTGTAATAATGTAAACAATGGGCTCTTTGTCAGGTGTCATGGTGCACTGAATGGGTTGTAAAAAAATCAATCAGATTCCAATCGCAGAATTGTGAGGGTTTTCATAGATGGATGGGTGAATCTGTCCATATGCATGGAGCTACCTAGCCTAGATGCTTTCATGCACACAATGTAAAGTATGTTCCTACCTTACATTGTCTAAGCCTTGAAGTCTGCACTGACTATATGTGTATCTACTCTGTGTTATATCTGTGTCCCTGCATGAATGCCCACCCGTGCATTAGCCATGCAAACATCCACATGCAGATACCCACATATACATGTGTATATCTGAATGGAGATGGCCGGCCCTTTGCTCAGACGAAGTAACTGGGTCACGTGTGAATAGCAGTCAAGAAGAATTTTAATCAAACTGAAGAATTCCCAATGAACATCCCTCCAGCAATCAATTACCATCCAACTGGGGTTTATAGTAAAGAGTGCTGATAACGCACTAACTCTGGAGTAAAGAAAATGCAATTGTGATTTCTGCATCTCAGAGGTACTGTAACTGTGACCAAATTCACCATGTTCAGAGGGCTATTGTAGTCTGTGGGAAGTAGAAGCAACGGTGTTCATCCACCTCACATGTATCTCTCCCTCCCTCTGTATAGTGCTTTGTCTAGTAGGTAAATAGGAGCCAGGCACTGTGAGTGATGAGTTTATTAGCTCCTGCCAGCTGTGGCCAACCCTTGGGTATTATTGGAGGGGTGGTGGTGGTGGTGGTGAGTGTGTGTGTGTGTGTGTGTGTGTGTGTGTGTGTGTGTGTGTATGTGTGTGTGTGTGATGTTTGTGATGTTTGGGGGCTCTGGGCAGGGAATAAGGAGGGGCGCAAGGGAGGGAGTCAGAGACGAGGGAGTACCCCATGAGAACCAGAGAAACTCCCTGGCAACTGGAGACAGGATCAACACTAAACGGGGCGCCCCCATTCATCTAGCACAGAGCAGTGACACCAAGCCAAATGACAGAGATTGAGAGAGGGGAGAGGGAGGATGGTGCTCCTGTGTGCACATATCTGAATGAGTGTAAAACCATTGGAGGCTGGTCAGCAGGCGACTTCCTCCTGCTCTGCACCCCATCAAATTAGTCTGCACAGATATTAACATACAGGCTGCAAGTGTCCCTGAATGTCTCACAACACTCAGTTCTAACAGTGATTGAAAAAACGTGGGTGCTAAATGGATGTTTAAATTCAGATTTAAGCCCCATTAAGAATTGATAACTGTGGGAGGAGAAGATATAGATCTGAGAGAGAGACCATCTTCAGCAACCAAAAATGTGCACATGTACGAACGCCACACACACGATTCTTGCACGCACATGTGACTCTTTACTGTGCTGTTAATTGCCACAATGTCATTCACGACGAGTTACTGAATCGCAGAGGTTTGTGAATGTGATTCCCAATGTGAATGTAGGGCTATTAAACAGTGTGTGCGTGCGCGCGTGTCTCCACATCGGATCCTCCGGGGTAATCCAAATGCACCACAGTGGTCAGACGCTTGCCACACCCTTCTAGAGTACACAAAGGCAGAGGCATCTGGGTCCCCACTTCTGGAAAGACATAGAACATGTGGGTCAAACAAACGAATCTGATAGTGTTTGCAGAAGCACGAGGTGTATCTGATGGCGAGCCTAATATTATAATTACAGTGAAATTGCCTCTTGCTTATAGACGCAGGGTATCTCCAAAACCGCCCCCTCACTTTTACGCACACATCGGCAGGCCGCGTTTACTCCACACACACACACACACATTCCAAAAAAAAATCTACCCCTTTGTTTTTCTCGCCTCACGGCGGTAGCCCCGAAACAGGAATTCAGCAAAGGAAGGAAGAGAGAAATGTGTATGTGTGGACCAGACGGTCTCCTCCCCCCACCATAAGCGCACACACCACACTCTCTCCTCCCCCTGTAACCCCCCCCCCCTCCTGCACAGCCCAGCACGGCCCCCATGCCTTTGTGTGTGTGCGCGCGCGCGCTGTGAAGCTGACTGCGTACCCGAAAACCGTGTGACGGATGCCTTGCATATAAAATAAGGTTTTTTTGGAATTTTAAATTTATCCGTGTTATATATTCTATGGGATATAGGAAAATCTGCAGGTGCACGTCAAGGGGAAGAACCGGGTGGACCCACGTGAATCTCTCACTTATCTAAAGCCAGGAAATAGAAAGGAGAGCAACGCGTTGCCAGAAAGTGCCGCAAATTGGACTTTCCACCATCAGCAACCCTCTCTCTCCTCTCCTCTCTTCTTTCTCTCGCCATCCCTGCTCCTCTCTGTAGGTCTCCTCACTTACTCCCATCCAACCCCATTCTCCCATCCTTCAGTGATCCCAGAATAGCCTCTCACCGGAGCGCTCTCTAAATAATAGTGGGGAGTTTGGGATTTCGGGGTGACGCCGGAGATGGATTAAAGGGACTGTGCACCGCAAAACTGGAGCAGCACGCACGACCACGCCGGGGAGGAAGGGGGCGTCGGGACTCGGTCAATTCACGGAGCCCGCGGGATAGAGGTGAGTGCTCAGGCTGTCCGGTAGTATTGTGTCTCCCTGACCCCGCATGCCTCCCCCAGCAACCCACCGTTCCTCAGCACATGGATTTCACGTTTCCATAATTGATGATCTCATACGCAATCTGCTTATTTCTGCTTGTGGTGGAGTAACTGCTACGTTTACAATAGCATACAGGCTACAGCATTATGCTTCTTTTTTGCGGATCGTTTTGATATAGCCTAGTGGTTACTAAACATCTAAACTATAACATTCAATAAGCGATTAGCCTACCTTGAGAAAACCGAAATTAAAGCAAAACTGGACAGACATGTGGATTTAAAAAAAACTACAAATTATATTTTAATGAATTTATTAATACTAGCTTAAAATAATGGTTGAATTGTTTCCTTCAGTATTAAGGAAGGTGAGGTTAGTTGTGTAAACCCTCCTCCACATCAAGTGGTGCATATGGCCCTTTATGTCTCTCTGTCTGGTAAGGGCCCTGCGGTTGACATGGCTTTGCAGCTAGCACTGTAACTTTCTCGATGGATGGATGAGTAAATGGTGAATAGAAAATTGATCAACTGTTCTGATAACTTTATGTTCACCTCAGTCTTTCATTTTCAAGTTCATGAGCCATAGGTCAGGAAAAAGAGCAGCAACTTAACACTGTGCCTGTTGGGAGACACCAAGGATCCATGTCAGTACTGTGTGATGTGGTAATTTTGTAAACACTGTACTACTTTCTATATACAGAAATGTCTGCTTATGCTGAGGCAGACCTATGTGTAATTAGCCAAAACATTTTCTTTATCAGATAATTGGGTGTGTGGGGGTCACTGAATTGTTTGAGTGATGAATATGATGTGAGTCATATGCCATGGCCTTCGCAGTTTGTAGATCTCAAATCAGCACCAATGAGAGATTTTGGCAGCATTCTCCAACAGCATCATAAAAACAACCAAATTAGGGAATAACTTTTCCAAGGCAGAATGATGTCAATCTCTTTAGTAGAGTTCTAGAGAGTTATAAACTGTAAATATGTACATATATTATATTACACCATATCACAATACAGTGAACAACAGTAGCCTGACACACAAAGAAATAATTTATTACACTGTACTGTGCAATACATACTACACTAAGTATATACTAGTCTGTCTCTAACACACCCCACCAATGCCACGTTGGTGGTCACTGAGACTTGTATCTTGCTTGCTGTCTGACAGACTGACACACTGTTTTTGTCCACTGCAGCCTTCATTCATACGCACACACACACATGAGATGTGCACAAATTGTTTAGACTATGCATGCATGCAAACACTACCATGATGTTTGCATGCACAAGCATAATTTGCTGTCACACAAACATATGACGGCCCTAAAGAGGCTCATTCTGTGTGTGTGTGTGTGTGTGTGTGTGTGTGTGTGTGTGTGATGTGAGTTGGGGTGAGGTTTAAATGCTGACTGGAGTAGGTCACTGAGACCAAGCAGCTGGGAGAGTGAAACCCAGGACCCAGCGTCTTCCTAAGCTGCTTTCAGCTACACTGGAATCTAGCCATCCCCATATTCTCCCTGTCTCTGATCCTCACCCACCACCAACCCCCTCTCCTCCCACCAGCACTCCCAGACATACACATTTACCAGACAAACTTGTGCTACACTCTTCTGATTTTGTTTTTTTAAAATTATTCTTCTTCTTTATGTCTTTGATCTCCAATTATCTTGTCCCCGGTTCTATCCTATTCTCTTCTCCTCCTCTTCTTCCTCTCCTTCTTTCCTCTTCATTTCTAGCGGTCATGGAAATTAGACGGTAGAAGTCTTTGATTCTCTGTGCCTTACACCGCCTCAGGGTCAGGCCCTCTTATCTTGGAGAGAAAAAGAGAAACAGACAGAGAAAAGAGGATGGAGAAAAACAATGACAGGGGAAAGGTAGAAAAAAAGCAGTGATGGTGATTTTTGGACAAATACTGTAAAAAGACAAAACAGGGCAGAGATAGAGCAAGTGAGAGAAGCAAAGCTAAACAAAAACTAAGCAAAGACAATAAAAGAGAGAGAGAAAGAACATGACAGAATCAGAAAGAGCTAGAGATACCTAGACAGCTTTCAGACAATATGAGTTTCTTGAAGGATAGTATTTTTGGATTGAAGCCTCAGATCAGCTGATTATGTGCTCATATTCAATCTGCCTTAAATTTGTGTCCATTTGTGTGCCAAACAAGAAAAGAAAACTGCAAGTAGAAAATTGCATTTACACAAGCATGGGAGAGCAAAACTCTCCACTAAAACCCATTGTAAATAGTACCAATACATTTTAGTTGGATCAGCAGGTCTGTGACACAAAGCAGGTTTCATTGCATGTTTTAGGGAGAATTACACACCTGATGCATTTGAGCGAAACCAGATCCTCAAGTTTATCTCCTTCACTAGTATGCAATTTGTATTAAAAAGTCAATATTGACCAAACAAAAGAAAAATTTAGATATTAGAACAAGATCAGAGGTAATGCAGACAAAGAAAAAAGGAGGTCAAGAGAAAAGTGTTGGTAAAATGAAGGCAGATTGGTAGGAAGAGGGGGATAGACGGAAGATGATTGAGAAAGTGATAAGCATAATGGGACACAGAAAAGGTGGCAGGGTGAAACTGAGTGAGAGAGGGAAATGGGTAGAGCACAGAGATGCAGAAAGACAGACAGAATGTGGAGGAATATGGAGCTGTAGGGAGAGCAGTGAATATTTAACTCTGTTTAGTTTTCCATTTGGGCCCTTGGCTCTTAGTTCTCTCTGAGGACTTCTGATCGCCTACAGGTTACTGATGGCAGGAGATGTCTACATGTGTGTACATCTGAGTTTGTGAGGAAGATGAATTTAGTGTATAACAACCAGTAGGAAGTTAAAAACTTCCTTTAGAAAATGAATGAGATTTTTTTTTCTGTTTGTAGATCCCACCATGAATTTTCAACACAGAGCATCCTGACCTTGCACGTGTTTCTCTGTCTCGCTGCAAAATCAGTGTGGTCATTAAATGTGCATGTGCAGAGTTCTACGTGTAACTATTGAATGTGTATGGGTATGCAAACACAAATAATGCACCTCATTACCAAACAATACTACATTAAAAGTGCTCTGTTTACTAACACAAGGTCTTCTTCAAACTAATGCATAGTGATGTGTGCAGTATAACACATTTCAGCCTTAACCAGCCTTGGAAAACTTTTTTGAAGCTATGTTTCATTCATCAGAAAAGTCTAGGCCTGGCAGAAGTTTGAACGTCTTTTTGATGTTTTCAGAAATATTGATGGTGGAAATCCATGAAAGCGCTCTGACACTCCTCTCTGACATCTCCTCACAATCTGTTATCCCAACAGGCTGTGACTGGTCCCACCCCAAGATGACGTCCCCTAAAAACAAAGCCAAGAAGAAACCACCTAAAGACAGCATGACACTGCTGCCATGCTTTTATTTTGTAGAGGTATGTGTAGAAACATTAGATATATTGATGAATCACCTTTTTGTATGTTTGGTCAACATGACTCACTACAATTACTGAATCGATCACTAGCTGAATCATTCTTTCTGCTGTGTAGAGTCATGCTACCGGTAAGGTTTTTCTATGTTAATTGCACCTGGATAGAGTTTGATGTTCACAAGCAAGGTGTTGCTGTGGCAAGATTTGCGATAAAACTTGGATAAATCATCTCTTTCCAGGCAAATATTAAATGCTAGTCACTCTTTGTTTTGTCCTTGGTCTTGTGCGTGTGGCGGGTATGTGTGTGTGTGTGTGTACATGCCTGTCTAGCTTCCCATCGTCCTGTCCTCTTTGGTGTCCCTGTACTTCCTGGAGTTGACAGATGTGTTGTCCCCGGCAATGGTGGGCTACCGCTGCCATGACCGCGACCTCTCCATGCCCTACGTGGAGACGGGCGATGAGCTCATACCTCTGTTGATGCTGCTGAGTTTGGCCTTCGCTGGTCCTGCAGCATCTGTAAGTCACCCCCCCCCCCCCCCCCCCCCCCCCAAACACACACACACACACACCACACCTGAGTATGGCCACAACAAGTGGTGGACAAAGTTATATTGAGACTGCAGATTATTTTTTCCATTAATCAATTGATTGTTTGATTTGTAAAAATAGAATAAAAATAGTGAGAAATTTCAACGCAGTTAACCAGAGCCCAAAGAGACACCTTCATAGTGCTTGTTGTGTCCAATAAACAGTCCAAACCTCAAAATTGTAAACAATACATTGAAATTAGCAGCAAATCTTCACATTTGTGAAGCTGGAAGCACATTTTGAAAAATGATCTTGACTTAATGATCAAAATAGTTGACAATTTTATGTCAGCTGACTTACATTTCAGCTGTACTTGTATAAACTGTTGGGTAGTTTAATATATAACAAAGCATATTTATAAATTCTTCATATGTTTACGAAAAATCTTACTTTGTAAAGTACAAAATTCCCCTCTGAGATGTAGAGGCATAGAAGTAGAAAGTGGCATGAAAGAAAATAGTCAAGTAAAGTACAAGTACCTCTGATTTGTACTTAAGTCCAGTACTTGAGTAACTGGACACCACTGGCCACAACAAACCGAAAAACACATACCCCAGACATATTATTGTCCTTTTAAAGTTGGTTTGGCCAACTTAATGTGTTAGCAATCACTTGCAAATACAGAGGTAAAATTACATTAATTTGGAATAATTTTTCTGCCCCCCTGATCAAAGTTCAGTTTCTGCTCATCTTTTAGCTCTGGTTTGGTCTCAACCTCCTGAGAAAATCTCTTGATCTTAAGCTTGTTTGGCGTTCGATTTTTTTCCTCTTGTTAGTCGCTGACATTGCTATTTGGTAGCGTACAGTTGGTTTATCAGAGCTTGTTTTCACCTGACATCATATGCCACTACTAGAAACTGGACTGATGAGAGCTGAATTTTCAGCTCAGCTCAATGAGTAATAATTCCCTGTGGGTTTGTTACTGAGCACATTTGATCTATTGTTCATGTAAAAAAGTTGATCATTCATGTAAAAAATCTTCTCATATTGGAGTCACAAGGATAAAATCTTATCACAGAGGCGCAGTGATCTAATGTGTGTCTTGGGGTTTTGTTTGTGAGTTCTGGACACATACATCACACAGAAATGCTTGTGTACAGACAAATATGCAAACGTACAGCTTCTCAAACACACACAAAGCAAATTCAATCTCCCCTTAGAAATGCAAAATCAATGGAAACACTGATAAATACACACCTGACATTCCAATACACACCATCAAACAGGTCACGAGGCCCCCAATCAATATACACACACTCATACGCACACTGCTAATCCATCAGCAGCATGGAAACGAGCAGACCACTCCAACACTCATCTATCACTCTGATTGGAAGTGATCACTATTCAATAGAACCCTGCCTTCGTTCTCTCTCTCTCGCTTGCTCCCTCTCACCGTAGATCACAATCACAGAAATGGAATGACATTAATTGCACCCTTTTTCTTTTTTGTTCTCTTTCATATATTTCTTTCTGTGCCTTACGGTGTTGCTATATGACAGAAATACATATTTTGTTTTTTTTATGTGTTCCTTTCTTGCCTTTTACCAAATTCTCTCCATCTTTCTGTAGATTATGATGGGGGAGGGCCTGATGTACTGTATGCAATCCAAACTGAAGACATGTCCCAAGTCAGAGAGCAGCATCAATGCTGGAGGCTGCAGCTTCAACTCCTTCCTACGCAGAACCGTGCGCTTCGTCGGTACGTCCAACTACCAATCCTTATGGGGTTATTTGAAGGTTGGAGTTTTGTCAGATACTGTGGTAGAATTCTACTCCACAGCATCTAATAGTTAGTGAATAACATTCAGGGTTTGCTCAAAAAAACTTTGACAGGATACGTGGCTGTTGCTATGGACATAACAATAGTTATAGCGTAGCCTGCCACTGGGGCCATCGTTTAGAGGCGCTTATTGATCACATGGTTTGTCAAATAGCATTATTTTCCCATATATGCTTATTCTGTTAGTGATGAAGCCTGAAAAAGCATTTGATCGAATATACATAATATATTTTACATTTGGACTTAGGTGCTAACATTGTAAATAGCTGTCTGCTGTCAGTAGTTGGGAGTAACATGGTGTTTTTAAGATGGAAATCAGTTTTGTCTCAAACAAATTATTCCACTTACCGGCTGAGCCACCAAACGGATTCCACTTTTCAGAGTAGGGAAATAAACTAATTACATGCATTAAATGAAGGATGACTTAAAATGAAAAAGGCATGATATAATGCTCCACGGAAAATATCTTGAGGCAGACCTTGAGCTTTGAAGTGAAAAGAGTAATTAATTCACCTTGCCAAATTTCAATGTCTGCGGAAAAGCTTCATAGCAAAAAAAACTGATGGCTTGTGGTGTCACTTCAGGTTGTCGGTGTAAATTCAACGTTGTTTTCGGCTGCAGGTGTTCATAAATGTGGAGAAACCACCAGGGGCTTTTAGTTCATTTGCCAAGGCTGCCATATCATCTCTGTCTCTGTCTCTTACCTCGCTCTCCCTCAGGTGTTCATGTGTTCGGTCTCCTGGCAACAGCCCTGGTGACAGATGTCATCCAGTTAGCTACTGGTTACCACGCCCCTTTCTTCCTCACCGTCTGCCAGCCCAATTACACAGCCCCGGGAGTGTCATGTGACAACAATGCCTACATCACAAGGGACATCTGCATGGGGAAAGACCAGTATGCCATCATGTCAGCTAGGTATGACACACACATATAGAGATATTTAAAACAGCATCCATGGGCAGATAGCAAGTCTCCATTTCCCCATATACAAAAGAATAGAAAACACAGACACACAGATACACAGTACATTCATCACTATGAAGTACTGTATCAGTTTATTTGAACCGGATATTTGTTTTATGCTTCTTAGCTCCCTAGCAGGCTGCTCTCATTCCATTAAATAGGAATTCAGCAATGTTAGATCACTTTGCTTGCTAGTTCATGCTTTGTCAAAAATGCTACAGAACACACTGAGTTATAATGCTGAAAGGATTTACAGATGTTGCACCGTATACTGTGTAAATGCAACCTGCAACGTGAGGAGTCATTAAAATGTGCATTTTAAGAGGATTACAGAAGATTAAAGTAGCAAAGGATTGAAATTGTTGTTGTTAAAGTTGGATATTTAATTAATGCAAGATTTGCTAATTAATGATATGCTGCTTAGTAAAGTTTATTTGTACAACAAGACTTACAATGCCTTTACAAATTCTCATTGTGCCCAGCTGTGGCATCTCACGTGCAGGTGCTGTGACTACGTTTGGCTTCTGAAGATACTCTTTAGCAGCCCAGTATGTAACAAACAGACAGACAAACAAGCTACAACATATGGGTATTAGACGGGCATAATAAATGCATACAGACTGTTCCCAGTCTTTGTGCTAAGCTAAGCTAACCAGACATGAGAGTGGTATCAATCTTCTTGTCTAACTCTCAGCAAGAAAGCAAATAAAAATATTTCCCAAAATGTTGAACTATCGCTTCAACATTCACAAGAAAATTTAACTTAATGTAACTGTAGCCTGAAGCCTAAAACCAGCCAAAATGTACGCGCTTTTAAAAATGTCCTTACTATTAAGGTCTTCACAAAGATAGAAGTACCAGTACACACAGGTTTAGCCTTGAAAAAGTTGAGAAAGTAAACACAGTAGTGCAAGACACAAGGATAAATACACTAGTGTCTTAATAAGGCAAATTAAATGAGACTGGTGATTCAGTTATCTAAACTTTAAATTGGCGGCTTTGACCGCAGCTCATTCACTCTCCCCTAATGTTCCCACTAATGACCCGTGGTATTCTGTTTGTGTTATTAATTGCTCACAAGGACGTACGCTCAGTTTAACAAACACAGTTGGGCAGACACTCAGGTTTTAATGTCAAACACAATCCAGACATCACAAATAATGTGAGACATGATTCAGGTTTATTCAAGAGGCAATAAATAAACTCAGAATCCACACAGCTTGTGTAAACATGCATCTGTCTTTCTCTCTCTGCCTTCAGTCTTTCACACCTAATTCTCCCCGTTTCTCCCCTCAGGAAAACATTTCCATCCCAGCATGCAACGCTCTCTGGCTTCGCTGCGGTCTATATCTCCGTAAGCACATATGTCTCTTTCTTGCCTTCTATGTTTATGTACCTACAGTAAGTATGAAGTATTTGCATCACATACTGCATACTACACTACTCACATGTGTTTGTGATTTATTGTACCTCTCTTAAGTTAATTCAGTGTAACTTTGAAAGACTAGTTAACCCTGTTTTGTGTAACATTTAACAGTTTTTGGTGACATCAATATTACTGAACTGTTTTGCACTATATTTATTTATCTTCAGAATTTTTATTTCATAATGTTTGTACGGATAACAATTTGTTAGTTTGTTCACTTATCCGGGGTCATGACAACTATCCAGGTGCTCTTCTACTTATTCTTAAAGCAACTACAAGGAGTTTTTAACTGGTTATGAAGAAGTCTCAATTTAATACTGATGCCTCTATATGACCACTATATGTCAGTGGGTCAGATTCCCCGCAAAACCTAACAAAACAATTTACAGAATGCACCACGCAGACAGGAAGAGTGTACGTTTACCTATTCCCTGGCAAAGTTTTGCAGTGAGTAATACTTTAACCAGTTAAAAGGAAGCAGGAGGAGAGTTTTCTTTAGCTAACAAAACAGCAAGATGGGACAGTGATAGAGCCTGGGTGAAAACACAAGTCAACCTTGGCCGGTCATTCAACAGAATTGCAGGATTTTAAAGGAGGGAGAAAAAAAACAAGTTGCATCTTTCTTTCACTCGCTTCCAAAACAAATTCACACGCTAGCCAGATAAAGATCTTTACGACACAAGGTTGTGGAAACATTGCCACTTTTGTCCACAGGGTGCACCATAATCAACACAAAATGAAAGTTCCTTGTATAGTTGCTTTAACAAACATTACTGCTGGTAACATAAAATTAGTTCCTGCATATCAGAGGATTTCTGGCTGCAATGAAATCACTGTCATTTCATATACAAGTCATAATTACATTATAGTGATTACTCACTGAGAGATTTACGATTGACGGTACAATTCTCAGACCACAGTACCCTCAGGCCAGAGCCGTCTGAATTAAAATACATTAAAAGAATAATAGGCACCGTCTTTAAATTCCGTGTTCATTGTCATCCTAATGCTTGTTGGGTAGCTTTTTGCCATTCTGCAGTCCGATGCTGACTGCAGCAGAATGTGAATTGTACAGCAAAGTAGCACTTTGCTGTACAATGTCATTTTTCCATGAGGTAACACCCTCCTACACACACACACCCTCCTCCACCAATGGCTGTTGCAAGCTACTGGCCATATCACTGCTGCCTCACTGATCCGAGAGTGTGCTCATTAAAGCTCACCAGACAGATTTCTGACGAGAGAGAAAAGGCAGGAGAGGAGGAGGAAAGCAGCTGTTTTGGTTGCTAGAGTTACAACATGTTGTCCAATCTCTACAAAGTTGAGAAGCACCCCAAGCACACAGATCACTTTTCTTTCTTCAGTTTGTTCTTCACTGCCCACCATATTAAGACATGTATTTCTTCTTCAAAAACCTATGTGATAAAATGATAATGAAGTGAAACAATTCCACTTGTTTCCACTCTTCCTCTCCTCCTCTCCCCATGTATTTTTTTAATTTGCTGAAGCTCGACAGATAAAGCAGAACACTTCACACGGCAGACACAGTTTCAATTGCATTGGGAGTAACTTAAATGTCACCCTGTGGATAGATGTTTGTTCCCCCTCTTTTGCTTGAAGAGAAGTGGGATTTTTATGCTCAATACTAGATGGACAAGCCTGTTAAAATGGATATTTTTGCAAAGCCTGCTTTTCTGTCACTCAGCTGTCTATCACTTTACGTAATCGAAATAAAGTTTGTATACAGAGAATTTGAATGTAACTGTACATATATTCTCTCTCCCTTCATGTATTCCCCCCCCCCCCCGCTCACTCTGTTTAACTGTCAAAGAATATTCATCTGAATGACCCAGTTAACCTCATATGCAGCATACGTTTTATTTTCTTAAAACAGCTCTAACAATTACGGTTGTATCTTTTACATTTTCAAGGAACAAAAGTGAGACAGTTCATTTAACATTTTCAATATAATGTCACTTAAAGATAATTCTTCAAATCAGTGGAGATTCATTGGAGACAAGTGAAATGTTGGACATGGTTAGCTCAGTAAAAAGAGTGGGAACCGGTGGAAACATCTGTTTTTTTTTTTACATCATTGAGATATAATGTAGTAATTAGTGAGCTTTAGAGGTGCTGATAGGGGGATTTTTCTTTTGAACATAGCCAGAACATTTCCCGCTGCCTTTTAATAACATCTCCTCCCCAGTCTTCATATGTGTCTTTTGCATATTGATGTGTGCTTCTCTCTCCACAGATGTATTTCAATGCCAGCATCAGCAGCACAACAAAGCTGCTGAAGCCGTTGCTGGTATTTGCTTTTTGCATGGCGGCAGGCCTCGCTGGGCTGACACAGATAACTCAGCACCGCAGTCACCCAATAGACGTCTACGTGGGATACCTCATAGGAGCCAGCATTGGAGTCTACCTGGTTAGTTAAATAAAGTGCGCAAGAGTGCATATGGCAAGCATGGCAAACGATTTATCAGTCTTCAGTCAAGTTGTAAAATAAAATCTCTAGACCAATAGGAGTTAATTTATTTAGCTGGTGTCAAGATAATTACTCCTTTTATGATAATGTAACGTGTGATAATGTAGTGAAATTGTCTCTCTTATTTCAGGATTTAGTATGTGAAATGAGTGCCAGCATATGTTTGTATGTATTTAGGGATTTGTTTTGACCCCGGGGAGCAGTTAACCGTCAGCATGCTGCATGGTGGGAATGACTAAATACACATAAATAGATTTTGTTTTTTTATAAAGTGGTTTAGTTGTTTTGCTGTGACTGAGTTGTCCCATTGTATTATTCTAACACTATCACAGTATGTGTTAACAAATGGTTATTTTTTTCATCACCTCTCCTCTCCGTGTGGCTTCCATACTCTTCTCTCCCAGCATTTTTTTTTTTTTTGGCAAGCTCTATATATAGCTTTTTCTATTACAGAGGGAAGGGAGAGAGAATGAATAATCGGATAAGAATTCTCTGGAACAATTTCACACTTCATTTTAAGAAAACTTGTCGTTGCCTTTTTCCACGCTTCTCTCCTCCTCTCAGTCTCTTTCGCTCTCGTCTTTCAGTATTTAAAGGATGAATTCTGAGAGAGGGGGAAGAAAGTGATTCATGCTGACCTCAGACTAAACAGGAGGGAGACGGAGAGATGCCTATTCATGCATATGCTCCCCACTAATAGGGATATTTTTTCCCGCCCAAAGATTAAAGAAAACACATTCCCACACTTAAGTCTTTATTTAACATGCCGGGTACTTCTATCTCCTCATTTATTTCTCCTCCCTACCTCCCTCCCTGTATCCCTCTGTCCTATGTCAGGCTGTGTACGCAGTGGGAAACTTCAAAGCATCAGAAGAAGATGCTCACTCTTTACAAAGACTGACCCCGACTCAGCAGAAGGACGGCCTGAGGGTGCTGAGTCAGCGGAGTCATGACTCTCTTTACAGGAAAACTCCCAGGGTGTCTGAGAGCAGAGAGGAGCTTGGGGTGGGGCTGGGGTCCGGGGCCCGCAGTAAGGTGAGGAGGGAAAAGGCCTCTCTGGCCTCCCTCAAACGTGCGAGTGCTGATGTGGAGCTACTAGCAACCCGGGGTCCCATGGGCAAGGAAACTATGGTAACCTTCAGCAACACCTTGCCCCGAGTCGCAAACGGCAACAGCCCCATCTCCCCCTCAGATGAGCCAGCTACCACGCAGCGTCACATGACCTTCCATGTGCCCTTTGACCCCCAGAGGTCTCGGCAGCTGGTGTCAGAGTGGAAGCAGCGCTCACTGGAGATCCGCAGCCAGAGCTCACGAGACGAGGAGGAGGAGGTAATGGACGGTAGAGATGGAGGAGATGAAGGAGGAGCAGCAGCAGGAGAGGGAGGAGACCAGGAGATGCCGTCCTCTCTTTATCCCACAGTGCAAGCCAACAAGGGCATTGCCACACCGACTGGGGCCAGGATGGTGGTGGCACCGCCACTCGTTCACATCCCTGAGGAGGCCTCTCGGCCGCCACCTGTCTCCCCCAAGAGTGCCAAGACCCGCGCCAAGTGGCTGTCTCTCACTGAGGGAGGAGGGGTGAAAGAGCCGGGAACAGGTCCCATTGCAGTGTCAACTCCGCGTGTGCCCAACACGCAGCCCAACCAGCTGCCCAGCCAGCAAAGAGTCACTCAGGTGAGGCAGCAATTAGAAAGTGAATCATAATAACTACATTATTTTGAGCAGTCATTTTTCATTCTTTAATTTCAAGTAACATGCAGGCAGTTCTGAAAAATATAGTTTTGACAGGAGACATGATTTAATAGCTGACAAACACTGTGTGTGCTATACATCTATGATTTATATTGTTGGTAAAATCAAAACAGAACAAGTGGAGCAGGTAATTTCACTGATTCATTTCCAATATAAAACACTCTCGCAAGGGTTCAAACACTAATTATAGTTAGGGTTTAATCTAATTAAAATGCCTAGAAGGGATATTACTATTACCCTTTACTGTGTTTACTATTGTAAAAGCAAATTTGTTCTGTAGTAGCTTTTCTTGAGATTGAAAGTTCTTTCTTCACTTTGGAAACAGCAAAACAGTCCCATCACAAGTTCCCTTTAGTACCACATGATCTTCCTCAGCAGATGGAGTTGCCCAGTTGTCATGGATGTTGTCCAGATTCAGATTCAGATTCATTCTTTATTGTCCTCGATGGAGGAAATTTTTCATACAGACTGTACCAAGAGCAACGTTCAACACACATAACATGCACATACTGCACATATTGTACACATATTACACAGGAGTGGAAATTTTATAAATGTTCAAATTTCCACTTCTTTGATCTTGAGATTGAAAGTTCATTGTTTACCATGGAAACAGCAGTTGACAAAACAATATCACCAACACGGTCCATTTGGTAGCTGATCTGGAGCAGCTATTTGGCACTCTTCTGAGCACTTAGCATCTTTCCTTTTTACATTCTGACTAGGTTTTCTTCTGTCCTTCAGGTGATCGCCATGTCTAAGCAGCAGGGACATGGACCCATCACTTCATCTACTAAAACATCAGAAGGGGGCTCCTCATCCGGCGGTGGGTCCAACTGTTCTGAGTCACCCTATTACCGGATCCCATCTGATCGAGACAGCTGCACTGGGAGCAACCCAGGCAGCATCGCCGGAAGTGGGAGCATAGTCACAATCGACGCTCATGCCCCTCATCACCCGGTGGTGCGTGTGTCGGCCAATAACGGGAAGCCGTGGGAGTGGAGAAACACCATCAGCGGTAACATGATGGCTACTGACACAGCCGGGGACAAACATCGCGTAGCCCTGCAGCGGCAGGACAATGTTAGTCACTACCGGGATTACCGGACACTCCCAGGGAAAACGGACTCGCTTTGCTCCTCCTCGGCCAGCGGCAGCGCCGAAGGAGGAGCGGAGCTACCTCCCCCACCTCTCCCCACTTCCTCCTCCCCTCTGCCTCCCCCTCCTCAACTGTTGTCATCCCCTCTACCACCACCACCTCCTCACTCGTCTTCTTCTCCTTTGCCTCCCCCTCCTCACCTGTCCTCTCAGATGTCCCCACCACCTCTCCCATCATCCTCTCAAATGCCCCCCCCTCCTCACCCATCTTCTTCCCAAATGCCCCCCCCTCCTCACCCATCTTCTTCCCAAATGCCCCCCCCTCCTCACCCATCTTCTTCCCAAATGCCCCCCCCTCCTCACCATCTTCTTCCCAAATGCCCCCACCACCTCACCCATCCTCCTGTCAAATGCCTCCACCTCCTCACCCATCCTCCTGTCAAATGCCTCCCCCTCCTCACCCATCCTCCTGTCAAATGCCCCCACCTCCACATCCATCTTCTTCCCCTTTGCCACCTCCACCACATCCCTCATCCTCCATGCATCCACCTCCCCACCCGTCCTGCTCCAGCATGCTTCCCCCTCCTCCCCATCCCGACTTACTGATGGACAGCCACAGCCAGGCCCTGTCCCGGTCCTCCACCCTGCCTCGTCGCCCCTCTGTCTCCGCCCGCAGCCATGCTGAGCAGGAGCACTACTACAAGGCCATGCAGAATGAAAGGATGTTATAGTGAAGGAGAAAGACAATAGACATCATTGTCATATCAATGATTATACTTAAAAAAAACTCAGTTAAAAGAGACAGTGAAACAAAGTAGGTTGTGGCAGGTGAATCGCAATTTATGACTTTTGAAAAAAATGACAAAGAGGATTAGAGACTCAGTCAAAATGCTGGAAATGAAGAGACAGCAGGGGTGCAGGACCGTGGGGCGGTCTGGCTGCTCACACACACTCAGCAGGGGATCTGGTTTTTCTCGGCTCACATGTACTGCCCACAGCGCCGGCTCAACAGCCCTGAGTGGAAGAATAACAGTCAAGGGAAGAAAGGGAAGAGGAAAGAGAGCAGGGTGAAGATTAAAAACCCTAGTTTCAGCATGCACATCCTGTGTGTTTCTTTAAGACACATTCAAAGAAGGAATGGAAGAGGCTGCAGCTGAAAGAGAGATATCACAATGAACACTGGGATTTGCTAAATCAAGTTTCCCTGGAGAGATGGGATAAGACTGAGAAAACAAAACAACTACAGGCAATACTAGCTCTCCTTAAACTAGCGCAGCTGTTTGAGGTTGCCAACCATTACACACAGAGAATTTGCCATTGTAACCAGCTGAGAAACTTAAACGCACCCAAAAGCTATGAATAAAAAAAAGGTTTAACCAGAGGTTCAAGAGTATTAGCCACAACCCACAGAGCATGAGAGTCTTTTTACCCCTCTGAATAAACAAACCAAATGGGGAATTTTATTTTTGACGCCAAGCAAATCTGTCAGTATTCACCAGAGAGAGCCAGCTTAGGAAGTGTTGCTTCTGGATGGTGTGTGAGAAGGAGGAGGAGGGGAGGGTATAAGGAGGATCACGCATAGTCGGGTACCCCTATACAGACGTCACTGAATGGATTACTGTTGTAAACATGAGAAGCGATGGAAAGGAAAGAGAATTGTTTCTCAAATGAAGAGGGTGGCTGGGCCGCACAGCACAGCGAGCCAGGCAGCCAGTCTGTCTTAGCTGTGTGCAAAACTTGATGCAGAGCCTGAAGCAGCACTAAGGAGATTAACGTTTGTTTATCAAACCATGCTAGCACTCTCTTCCCTCCGTAGTCCTTTACATTTGGCCCTTCTGGCAAATCACAATGGTGACAGGAATGTTAATGCAAAGCTGCCCAGCCAGCCGTGCAGCCCGCCATCCCCACCAACATGGACATTGGCTGAAGCAGGTGTTGCTTGGATGCGGCTAACCGGCTTGTGTTGCTGGCAATCTCTCTTTATACCTGTTACCATTTGAAAGGTGTTGGTACCACTTTCTAACTATGCACTTCATACATTTATCATAAGTTGTTTCTTGATTAATGATAATTTATTTATGCTTTACAGATCAGAAATAAGACATTCTTTAGAGAAACGTTTGGGTTGTCAGGTTGTAAAACATCTTTAATTAGTGTATGCCTTTTTATCAAGCTGTTTTATTTTTCAGTTAGCCTCCTGGAGGAAGACTACTATTTACAATATTAATTCCAGTCTTACAATTCTGTATTCATCCATCCTTCTTTACCCCTTTATACTTTATCTTTTTTCAGTCTATCACAGGGATACCCTTACTTAAGTATGCCTTATTAGAAAGTGATACCAAGATGTTTTGTCCCTCTGTGATATGAAATAAATTCCTAATTTGTTGAGCAGCCAACACCATGAGCCAGCAAAGGTTTTAAAAAATGTCATGTTCAAATAAACCATGGACAAATTACATCTGCTGATGAAGACCATGTAATGTGGTCAAATGGTCCAGAACAAGCAAAAGTAAATACACTTCCAATTGAGACTGTTTTTTATCAGCTGCCACTTTTAGACGAAACAATTAGTTATTAATCGTAGAAATAATCTCATTATTAATCAATTATGACAATAATCAGTAGTTGCAGCCCTAAGAAATACGCTTTGAATCGACATCTACGAGTTGAGAGGAAGTGCGTGTTCTTCCTGCTCACCCCTGCCTCTTGTGCGTATTTATATTATGTTGTATAAAGTCTTTATCTGGTACCTATCATTTCATACATCCAAGTTTTTTCTAACCATGAGAAGATATTCCGTCAAATGATAAGTGCTTTATTTTAGATTGTACTTTGATCATATTTTAATGAAAGACAGACTCACAAACACACAGATGAAAAAGTGGGGTTTCACCCATGCACCATAACATCTGAAGGCTACATGAACTGATTTTGTAAAGTTGTGCTAGCAAGGGGTGGGTTAAATGGAACAAGTTGTATTTTGTAGTGGAGCTCCTCAGACATGGAGCTGGTAGATAATGTTGCTTGTTGGTTTGTGCTGCATGTGTGTACGAGCGTGTTTTTTAACTTCTGTGCTTCAAGTCTGCACCGTTACTTTTGGCAGACAGACATGCTGCATTTTTCAGTGCTGGTGATTATCGTACTACTTTCCCCTATTTTGACTGTAAGAATACTTGATATTACCTAATATTATTAATACTATTATTATTCCACAGTCCTTTTTTATGGGCTAATGTTTTCTATCTGTGGTGATGTGTAACATTAACAACCTGATTGAATAAAAAAATTGAAGACTTCTTAACTGAGGTTTTATCTTGTGTTACTTGACAGCACAGTTGCATGTATAGTACAGCTCAAAATAGAGAGAGGGTCAATTTCAGAGCAGCTTTTACCACCACTCTAATGAAAAGGATCTTCTCCATTGATTCTTGGGTTATGAGTGCGTTGATGCTCATTCATACTGTATACACACACACACACTGACGTACACACTCACTGAAATACACACAGCCAGACAGATACAGCACATTCACATTTGCAATGCTACATTTGCTCATTTCCTGCGGGCTAGTGTCAGGTTTCCATAATGAATTCTGCTAGAATGCTGGTCAATCCCAGATGACCTGCAGGGATGCAGCAAGCATTGGCTGGGCCTGTGTGTGTGGTCTGTTTCCTTGTAAATAGTAAATAAAAAGGAGCCCCTTAGTTTATTCTGATATACAGTATATTATAGCATGATTCTCATACATGTGTGTGTGTGTGCGCACACATATGTTTATAAAAGTTGCACATGGTCCTGGTGTAGTGTTCATTCAGATATGTGTCAGTTTTGTGCATTTTTCTCTCTGTATGCATGTTTGAGTGTTTTCTAACATTTATTTGTGTGTGAGTGTGTGTCCAGTGCTTTGGAGCATTGAGCTGTGTGATGAAGCCGTACAGGCAGTGGGGGTACAGATGGTGTACTGAGGCCTGAGGACAGTCAGCCAGTCCATGACTCACACTCACCAAGCCAGCAGCTCTCACTCTCTCTCTCTCTCTCTCTCTCTCTCTTTCTTACTCTCTTACTGTCTCCCTCTCCCCTTAGTGGCCCAGAAAGCATAACACAACAAGTGTGCATGTGTGTGTGACTGCGGGAGGCAAATGAAAATGCAGACTGAGCTGTCTGTATGCATGTGTCTATTTTTGTGACTGTGCCTGTGTATGTGAGTGGGAGGGCTGGTTTTACTATGTACTTGTGGGGACCAAACTGCTGGACCCCACAAGTTTAAAGGACTGTTTGAGGGTCAGGACTTGGTTTTAGGGTTCAGGTTAGAATCAGGTTAAAGTTAGAGTTAGGGTAAGGGTTAGAGTTAGGCATGTAGTTGTGATGGTTAAGATTAGAATAAGGGGATAGGGAATGCATTATCTGAATGACAAGTCCCCATGAAGATAGCGCCACCAGGCTGTGTGTGTGTGTGTGTGTGTGTGTGTGTGTGTGTGTGTGTGTGTGTGTGTGTGTGTGTGTGTGTGTGTGTGAGAGAGAGAGTAGCTGTCCAGAGGAAGCTGCTGACACTCTTTTCAGGACTGATTTACCACAGCAGAACAGCACAAAAGCCTTTTGTCTGCAACTCCACTTTTATCTTACTCAGTTTGTCACTATCATTCTACACACCTACTGCCATCTACCCGGCTACTTGTGAACCTTTATGGAGGAAGGGGATTTGGAGATTTGGAGCTTATATCCTGATTTTCCTCCAGCTCTCAGTTTCTTGAATGAGGGATTAGGATTCTAAAGGGTCAAAGGGATCATTTTCCTTTCAGTTCGATCAATATCAAATTATTTTTAGCATTAAAAAGAAATCTTAAATATTGCCTTCTGGTTAGGCTATACCGGGATTGACTATATTGTCAATGGATCCCAGCCCTTAAAGAGGAATTCTTTATCAGGATTAATTCCTGAAATGGTTGATGAACAGCCCCTTTGAAGAGCTTCACCAATTATAAAAAGGAAACGAAAGAGATGGTTTCATATTCCCATGGCGTAATGGTTGTTAAAATGTTCAGCTTTGCATTCCCAGTAAATTACATTTAGTTTCAGATGGACTTATTAAACCTTGTTAGAAATCCTGTCTTTTGTCGACCCACCAGACACAGACCTTGTAGCAAGCTCTTTGGATCCCAAATGATAACCAGCCTTATTGTGCCAGTCAGCTGTCTAGCAGTCTACTGCCACAGCTGGGGGCTAAGACTGACATTTCTAGGAGGCTGGGTTCACTGAGTCAGTAGCTGTGTTTCCAAAGCTTGTTTCTACCTAGGGGTCCAAGACAGGATAGTTTTTTTTAATGTATGTTTTTTTTTTATGTGACCAAACTAAATACAATAAAATCATGACTACCTGCCAAAGTAGCTGGTAATGTAACATAACATCCAGAACCATATAATTTTGCTGGTGGGATCAATTATTTCCCTCCATAGATATAGTCGTGGAGTTGAGGATATATGTTAGCTCGCTTGCTCTTTAACCCGGAGGCTATAGAAGGTGATAAATGTCCTACCAGGCTACCAGTTACACTGTTTCAGCCCAGCTGGGAGCCTGACATTTTTATAGGATTGCCCTCACCTCTCAAGGCAACTGCTGCTTTACAGGAGCTTGATTTTTAACCACACTGATTCTTTAGCTATTCCTGACATGTGGCTTTATTTTCTCACCTGAAGTGAAGGTCTACATAGCAACTATTAACAAATCAAGACAAAGTGTTTACCACCATGCTAGCAGCTCTGTGAGGCTGTACTTTGGCACAATGTTGCTTTGAGATAAATCACAACTTCAGTGTGATAACATGTTCACAATGACAATTTAACGTGCTATTGTTAAGCAGGTATAATACTGTATTTGCCATGTTCACCATCTTTGTTTATTGTGTCAGCATGCTAGCATTAGCTAATTAGTATTAAATACAAAGCACAGCTAAGGCTAATGGAATGTCATTAGTTTTGCCGGTATTTGGTCAGAAGCCAAGTATTGGACAAATTAAAAACTTGACTTGATGATGGACCCATAACGGAACACCAAAGTAATTACAATTCATGAATATTCATGAATATTCATTCACAATATCATGGCGATACAGCTAGTAATTGTTAAGACATTTCACTCAAAACCACAAATGTAAACCCACTGGTGGCGCTAGAGGAAACATCAGAGGATAGTCAATTTTAGCACAAGTCATCCTCTGGAGACAATGGATGTCTGTACAAATTTTCATGGCAATCATTTAATAGCTTTTAAGATGTAAGTGGTGGACTGACCACCAGACTGATATTGCCATAACTAGAGCCACTCCTCTCTCTGGCTGAAAATTCCTGAAACACCTATAGTAGAGGTAAGAAATGAATAAATACCCGACTGACAGTCTATAAATAAGACTGTTTCTAAAAATTCCTCAAAAGTTGACTTTGCAAAGAGGCAAGGCTTTCATGTGCCAGCTTAGAGACACACTCAACTAAGCAGAGAAACTATGGAAGTCTTTCGGTCCCCTTCTCTCTGCTTCCCCAATTATGCTTGATGTGTCTGCTTGGCTGTGTCCTCGTGCTTTCCTCTTAGAATTGAGGCGATAAATATAGAGCGATGGAAACAACATACTTCTGTACCCCCTTGCCCCACATGCATGGGCGCACACAGAAACACATAAATACACTTATTCCCATGAACATCCACAGCAACACATTCACTAAAGCCCAGATCTAGAGATTTGTGCATTAAGACAAACATCCTTCTACAGATAAAACAAAAATTCACATACACAAATATGCCTACTTTTGCCCTAGTGCTATTTGTCTACATGTATAGAGGCATAGGAGGGGGAACAGTTCAGCGTATTTGAGCATGAGTGGGCATGATGTGGTTGTGGCCTTACATGCATGAGTAAGACTTTACAGTACATGGCTTCAATACCCTACAGGCCTATGGGTAGTAACACACTGACACAGTTATCCGACCAGACTAATTGGGTCTGGGACTAAGTGTGTGTGTACATGCGTGCAGGAAAACCTTGGTATATGCAAGTCCAAATGTATGTGACCTTTTCATGCATTTGTGTGGAACTCTAATACTCAATATCTGTTCTCCTTCACTGCCTTCTCACCTCTAAACCTTCTCAAATGTGGATGTAAGAAATAAGTTAGTGCATGTATGTATACGTGCATCTTCTTGTATGTTTTGTGACCCTCCTTGTATATCTAATGGGTGCATATGTTACATGAGCCTCTGAGCTGTCTTACCTCTACTCCCGTACATCTTCTTAAATTCATAAATATCTCTCCTGCCAGGAAAAACTGTCAGAGTTTTCTATGGAAGCTTTTGGCAAAGGATCACGCACTCTTGCATCCGTCTGACCCAGTTTTAGTCCTCACATCATCACAGTTAAGATACTGAGGGATGTTATTTATTATACACGAAAACCCACACATGCCCACAAACTTTTAGCTACCTCTGCAACATTGGACATTACTACACAGTCCAGTCACCTGTCCCAATCAAATGGTACCCTTTATTAAATCTGCAAGTACACACATGCACGTGCAAACCATAGCTAGTAAAAGTGTTTCACCAGTGCAAATAATCCAGAATGAAATAAAAAAAACAGTTCCATCGTTAATCCAGTCTAAATCAGTCCGTCTGGGAGCATCAATTTAATGAGTAAATTAGAGCGCTGCCTCATGTACTCATGCCTGTAATCCGTCCTATTTCATATCAGCTACAAGCAGGGGAGCAGAGACAAAGACTATCTAAATGTAGCTGACTGGGTCTAAGTGTATTTGACTGTTTCTGAATATTTTCTAACCTGGTAGTCATCCTACATCTTGTCATTGTGTCATGTGTCATGATCAAAGACTGAAGATCTGAATAGGAAAATGCATTGGATAATAAACATGGATTGGCTACAGACTACACAGATGCAAAGAGGGAATGAAAGAAGGAAGGAAAGAAGGAACGAATTAACAAACAACATAAGTAGGGAGGACAGGAATGGAGGCAAAGAATAAATAGAGGAATGAAAAAAGGGAAGCAGACAACCGGGAAGCAGGACAGACAGACGACAGAAAGCATGATAGATGGATAGAATACACAGAAGAAACAAATGATGGAATAAATAAATAAACAAAGTGTGATGTGAGGAGCAATAAAAAAATGAAAAGTGGAAATGTTATAAGGGATAATAGAAGTAAATGGGGAGAAAGAAAGGAAGGAATACATAATCAAATGTTTGGCAGAAGGAGGGAAGAAAATAGTGAAGAGAAAATAATTAAAGAAGAATTGTA